TAGAAATTCGTGTGTGTATGTCTTTCAAAAAGATGGTTCCTTGGTGAGAACGACAGATCATGGATTCAAGCAACCTTTGTGTGTTTCGGTAGACCATACGAGTGGAAACGCTTACATTTGTGATTCGAATAATTTGAGAATTGTTATTTTGGACTCTGAATGCAAACATGTTATTGAATCCGTTGGATCATACAGCACGTACATGCTTCATCCAGCCAAACCATTAGGAATATCAGTGCATGAATCAACTCTTGTTGTAGCAGACTATGAAAACCACCGTGTCTTGCAAGCGCATTTGGAATAAATAGACGAAAATACTGTAGGCTAATCATGTGGATAAAACTTTTCTAGTAGCTCTTTAAGAGTTGCTTTTTGACAGGGTTTGAAAAGCACTGCATCGAAAATAGTGGACGGTAGCTCCGCTAAAACATCAGCGGTTAATGCAAAAATTTTCACGTTACGACTTCTACTTTTCAAAATCTTAGCAGCCTCATATCCATTCAATTTGGGCATGTTCTAATAACATTATGATAGTCAACATGATGAAGCAGTTACTAAAAATCAATAATCCAACACAATAGCTTACCAAGTCAGTAATCACAATATTGTGACGATCCTTATTAAAATTCTCAATTAATTGTTGTCCATCATTGACACAATCGACTGCATAACCTATACTTTCAATTAATTTAGATATGATTTTTCGATTGATAGAATTGTCGTCAGCAATGATAATATGAGCGTTTGGTGTGATAGGACGATCATGCTGTTCCGATTGGGAAATGTGTCGTAAATATTCCTCTTGAATGGAGAGCTGCCTTTGAATTAGAGTGTCTACTTGAGCCTCGTCAGTGTTCTCCGCTGTGACAACTTCGAGAGGAAGAGTGATCGTAAATGTAGAACCTACGATCAGGGAATTAGAAGGATTACATTACAAGGAAATACTGTTCTCCAACCTCTATTCACTTACCTTTTCCAATCTCTGAGTTCAATAAAATGGTTCCACCCATGGATCGAACATGGTGTAACACAATGCTCAGTCCAAGTCCAGAACCAGGATAAACACTTTCATTGACATTGTGCAATTGAGAGAATGGCTCAAATATTATTCGTTGCTTTTCTTTTGGAATGCCACATCCATGATCCATCTTGTTTGTTTTGAAATAACCACATGTAAGGAGCAAAATAATTGGATCAGATACTTACGACTTGAAATGTGACGTCTTGTTGCAACATGTTCCCATTATTCGTTTTCGGTGGTCCACTAAGACAACAAGTAAGCTCGACTGTGTCATATGGCTTTGATGCCTTATTATGAAAATGAGTTCAGATAGTTCAACGTCAGCATATGAAAAGTGAATGAAATTGTGAGATACTAACTTTTACAGCATTTGTGAGCAAATTAGTAATAATTTGATGAATTCGTTGTTGATTTCCTCGAACGACTGTTGATTTTGTTTGTTCATCAATTTGAACTTTAAAATTGACACGAAAATGTTTCGCGTAGCTTTTGATGATATTTTCCAATATTTTGGTGCTCTGTCCAAGTGAAAACGTTTTGATGTCTCTAAATGGATTCGATGATCCCATAGATGAGGAATCATTCTTTTCCGATTTTTGCTCATACTCAAGCTTTACAAGAGTTAAAATATCCTCAATAAGAGTCAATAAAATTCCGTCAGCGGAGGCTGTGTCATTTGAAAATGTGTAAATCTAACTGTATTAACATAAATTCCTTACCAATTGTATCTACCAACTCTTGTTGAATGGGTGTGAGTGCTGTTTCCCGCAACAACTCGACACTTCCCAGGCTTTACATGTATGTTAGGCATTCGTACATTATTTACTTTAAACAACTTACCTGCTTAAACACGGAGATCTGTATGTCCACCAGATTTTTCATGAACGGTAAAACATGATTTCAAAAATGTTTTCAAATATTATTATATAAATAATCATTCTCCAAATATACGTCAACTACGTACCTAAATTCATGAGAAATATGTCTTAAGAAAGTTTGCTTTGCTGAAAGAGCTTTCTCTAATTGGTCACCAGTTTTTTCTAAAGTTTTAACCTTACTTTTCAAATTAATGGATATCGTGACAATATAAAAGCTGTACAACAATATGCATAACATTATAGATATACTTTGAGAGACTGTCAAGAGAGAGTGTTGTGACAGTCCTTGTTTCAGTATAACCTGTACACAATTGAAGCATGCACTTGTAAAATAATGCGCAGCAATGTAGTAGGGAGGGAGGAAAGCCCAAATAGCATACGTTCCCCTCAATGCATTGGCAGAAGTTATGACCATCAAATAAATAGGAACTAAAATGATACGATTCGCAGGTTCAAGTAAAAAATATCGTACTGAAAAAAGTACCATGTTAAACAACATTCTATTTCGTTCCCTATAATTAGATGTTTCATCATCAACAACAGAATCGACAGCTGCCCATAACGACGCTGCAATATACTTGGAATTGCTAAGCAATGCAGCAACGCAAGTCAGTAGCATGATGAAAAGTGTTGTAGTGCCTTGCGAGAGATAGGTATGTAAAAGTAGAAAGGAATATTGAACAATCAAGACAATGGTCACCAGTTTTGGGCTGATAATTAATTTCGTGAGAACATTCTCCACTAGACTCGTCGGCTTTTGGTCGGTAATAAAGTTTTTTGGATCAAAACCTTCTGACAGTTGTTGGAGCACCGTTTTTTTGTCTTTTGGTTTGTTCTCCAAAGACGATGATGTAATAATTTCATTTGGAGATGGTGTTGGCGCGGTACATGCACTCACTTGGTTCGTTTCTGTGCAATTGTTGGTCATGTCTGTTGTACTAATAGATTCTTTAGAGATGATACTCAAAGTTGACCTGTTCTTGGAGGTTTCCATTCCGAGAGATGAAGGCAAATTGGTTTCTCGTTCTACTTTTTTCAAACAACTGTCCTTGTTCCCATCCAACCCGAGCTCGAGTGGAGAGCCTTCTACTTTTCTGCTCGGGCATTCGTTGTTGTTGTTGTTGTTATAGACTCGATGTTCTTGACGTAATGAAGATGACGCGTACATTCGAGTGACCTAAAAAAACCGTAGACGAATTTTTTTTGGAGTTTTACAAAACAGGTGCTTAGCGCTTCCATCTATGGTCTCAAATTATGAAGCTACATTTTGATTTGAGTAGAGTTCTCTTTTGGAAAAAGATGTTCGGGATTGGGACGGTTCGAATTATTGAGTCCAATTATTCAAGTGATGATATGATATCGTACTGTTTCATTATTAATCGATGTTTTCAAAAAAGAGTATGGTTCAATTCGAAAAATAGAATTGAAATTAGATTTTCGATTAGAGAAACATCATCTGGTTAAATTGAAGATTTTACTTTCCCTGTCATCTTGAACAGTGCAGTCAATTTTAAAATTGTAATTGTTTTAAAAGAAACATGGGTCGCGTGAGTTGGTTACTTGCTTTCATTTTTTTGTTGTTGTCACGCTGCTGGCAGGTGTCAGAACAACCCACTAAAATTACTTGCAAATTCTTGTGGCCACAAATTCCTGATACTTTTTTGGAAGGTCAGCCACATCAAATTTTGAGGCATTGAAATCAAATTCATGGCGTAAGTTATGAAATAGTTGAGCAGGAACACTATTGAAAAAAAACGAATGGGCACAGGTTGCCTTGGAGAGTTTTGGGTTATACACTGAAGCAATTTCATCCTCCTTAAGCTTCTCTAAGGTACAAAGTTTCGATTCAAATAAATGTGATCCTTGAATGTCTGGTCGTTTTGTTTTTGAACTGAATCCAAAATATCTAAAAGATTTTAAATTCTTTTTGTGTTCAATGTAGTAAGATGCCGTATCATAGTTGACATTTCCTCCAGCTTGTGGACAGTTTGGTATGCAAACAGTTAATGTTTCAACGGAATCAGGAATGCTGTAAAGAGTATCCAGAGAACCTTGACACATTGGATAACCGTAAACGATTTGAACAGCATTGGGTGGCCGCGAATGGGGAATCTTCTTGTAGGCAATGTAACAATACTTTTTCACATTGACAAATTCATCCAAAGATAAGCTCGATGCCTTGCTATGACTACCATAACAAATCAATGTATCAATTTTGTCAAGGATACTAGTTGAGAATGAAGTCAGTGTGGTCTTGTCCAAGTCTTCTCTAATGATTAGTTGAGTTAAATTGGGATTCGTTTTCAATAAAGCGTCTGTTGCAGCATTACAAATGGAACTTGCAACAATTTCAACACCAGTCAACGCTTGAAACGGAGGAGGTGTTGTATTCTTGGCTAGTTTGGTTATTTTACACAAGCCCAAAATACAGGAACTATATTGATGAATCGCATCCCTAATGTTGGTAGAAAGTTCAGTCAAACTCTTAATGACACTCCATTCAACCACTTCTTGATGAAACATGAAATTGAAAATCAACCCCAAACAATCGGCAGCCAATTTGTGAAACTTGGTGTTTTGCAAACCTTCTTTTGTCTTCTCGAATCGATTAATGGTCGAATAGGTCACTCGGGTGGATGGATGTATTTTCAATACTTTCAATATGGATTGGCGTTCCGCCTCTAATTCCAAGATTTGTTGATCGAGATGATGGAATCGCTCTTCATACTCTCCGATATTCTCAAGTTTGCAAATACGTTCCAACTCTTCTTCCGATATGCCATACACTGAAGATGCTGAGGGATGATGATTAGGAGAGGGTTTATTGGGATTGTCTACAATGGCTGCATCCTCTTTGGAAGCCTTTGTTGATGCTTTGGTCTTTTTACGTGAACTCCTTGTTTTCGCTTCCGTCTGCTCTTCATCGGCTGAAATCACTTTCCGTCCTCGTTTCATTTTTTTGTTCCTACTGGATTTTGTATTAATAATTAATGTGAGAATGAATGTTTTGGCAAAATTCTCACGTCGGGGCTAATAGACTATAAGGCGACATGGTCACGTGCCTCAATCCAATGACATTTGTGAGAAGAAAAATGTTCTATTTAATTTGCACTAAACTCGAGAGAAATGTCTGTAAAATGTTTGGCATTCAGTAAGGGCACAAGTCTGTGTTGGAATTGCCTTTCTATGGTTCCAGTGTCTGAAAAATTCATTGTAAAGATCGAGAGCTTGTTTCTAGATTGAGCCGAATACGATCCCAAGAAGTAAAAGCTGGATGATTGTGGAACCCATGTCACATTGGTATAGGTTGAGCTGACTCGCTCCACAATGAGAATTTTCGTAATGTATACATCCAAGAGATAACTTGACGATGAATTCAATGCAGTTGGGTTCTTATGTTGTCCATGTGGAATAAATGAGAAAATGTAAAGGTGTGGATCGTGAGTCGCATCGTCATCGTATTCTGTGCTCTTACAACCACCATAAACGCCCATTTGATAACAATTTTCGAGTCCACTTGCAAATTTGTAATTGGCATTAAAATAATGTTTTTCATAGCCGTAAACACGAGTGGAATGACATACGTGAGCACGTGGTAAAGTGGATGTGGAGATAGACGGATTCAGAATGTTCTCAGATTGAATAATTTGAAATTCGTTTCTCTTAAAGTGATAAATTAAAATCTCATTCAGCATGGGGGCATCAGGACCCTTTCTGACTTTTCCAGCATAGCTGACCATAACGTCATACTTTGGCAAATATTCAGCAGTATGATATGCTCGATTGGTCACAATATTGTGATTGGTAGCCGTAATTTGTCGTGCCTTTGGTGTTGGCATGACAAGATCATCGGTACCAAGCCCTTGCTCATCTCTGCGTCTCAATTCTAAACAATACTCTTCAAATTCTGAAATATCAATCTCAAACAAATCATTCAAGAACAATGAACCTGTGGTGTTTCCTCCAAATACATAGAGCTTGTCACCTCTCTTAACCATGCTATGGCCTTCCAGAGGAACAATATCATCAATTTCAGCTGTTTCAATAATGCATAATCTTTCCAAATCGATGGCAACAAACAGTTTGGAAACTTTTCGTGGAAACGAATGAATGGCTCCTCCAAACATGTAAGCCAATCCAGTTTGTTCATCGACGCATATAGCTTGGAATAAAACATATGTGTCTTGCAAGCTCAAGTTGGTAGAATTGAACGATGCCATATTGCAAGAAATTCTTTCGCTCATCACATGTGGTGTGATCATACTATTTAACAATTCATCGTCGTACATTTCGTCGTTGTTATTGTTGCTGGCTGGTAACGGCTTTGGTTTTCTCGAAGAAAACCGACTTTCCATATAGGTTTGCCATTTCAATTTTGCAATCTCTTTATAATCTTCAGAGTCAACGTCGATGGTTCTTCCCGTAGGACCCGAATACTTTTCAGGATCTATCAACGCAACATTTAAAGCGTCCAAAAGAGTATGAACGGCAATATCTTGCATAGAAATTCTCACTTCAAACAATCGGTTCTTGTACAGGATGGTCAGGGCATGTGATTCTTCAGGATATGGCACACTATGATACCAATATGTGTAGGGTTCGCTTGCAACTTGATTGGAACTGATGATTGATTGTTGTTGTTGTTGATGAGGTGCCGGAGGTGCCAATTGATCTTGCTGATCATCATCATCAAACAAGCCATTACCATCATCAAAATAATCATCATCTTCTTCAAATAGTTTACACGCCTGCTCTGAATTTTGCAAGACCGTTCCGCCATGTTGTAACAATTCAATGCGCTTGCACGATTTGCGAGAAATTTCAAGCAACTGGTTGCCTTGCTTGCTGTGCATTTTTTTGTTCTGAACTGAACAGTTGCCACCGATAGTTCAATGGGCACAACCATGACCCAACAGCATTGGCAACGTGCTGTCTTGGGTTCGATTCCCCTGTTGACCAATCTTTCGAGGTTGTTGTCAGGCCCTATACTACCGGGGTACCGTGCGTCAGGGTGTTCAAGCACAACAATTTAGGACCCGAAATTGCCAATTCATGCGCTTCCAGAATTTGGAAGTGGAATTTCCAAGGTTTTAAAAATATTTTTTTATTTTTAAATTTTGAACGTTCATTAAAACCGGCTCTTTATTTTGACCGTCGAATTTCCAAAGCTCAACAGCAAATTTTCTCAACTCTCTACCTTTTCAAATTAGACGGTCAAAAAATAAAATCCACTATGTCGTCAGGAATACTAGTTTCCTCTCCAAACTCCATCTCTTCATCACCGTCTTCATAATCACTTAGTTCATCGAATAGCTGTTCATTATTTGTCATCTCTTCATCTCCATCATCATCTTCAAAATCACTCATTTCGTCCTGAAACATTTCTTCCTGTTGAACATTTGTCTGTAAATAAAGATCCAGCTTAGATTTCTCTAATTCTGAACGAGAAGACTGTAAATTAGTAGCAGTTGATTGATCACTTTCAATTATTACTCGATCCTTGATTTTCAGATCATTGAAGCTATTCCATCTCTCCTTAACCTTGTCACCACTTCTTTCTTCTATTCTTTCAAATGTAGTATCTTCATCAGACCTGAAAGAGAGAAATAATACTCTAAGTTTTTTCACAATCAGTTGGAAAATTTGGAACAATTGATTCCATTCTCTTTTGTCTTCTTTTCTTGGAATATGTTTTTCATATTTAAATATATTGTTAAACTCATCAATAGACAAGTCTGGCTCTGTATAAATACTCATCTCGTTCCACACAGTATTACTATCTTTCACATATTCATCGAAAAAGTATTTCTTTTTACCTTTTGCTGTTGCTCTTTCTGTTATAAAATGGTCATGTTGATGAGAACCTTCTACTGCTTCATTGGAAACAGGAACCAGAGAACCAATTTCATCGAAAAATTCTTTTACATGATGCACAATAATGTGTATGTAATACGGAAGCACTCCAACGCTTGATCGTAGTTCTACAATGTTGATATGCCATTTAGTTAATAATTGATAAAATTCTAAAAGCTCTTCCTCTGTTTTCTTTGCTCGCTCATCATTTGTCATTTTAAGCCATTGACGAACAATAATCCACTGATCCCAAATTTCCATCATTTCATCCGTAACAACATTTTCAAAAATTGTCTTGTAATGCTGTGAGATAACTTCAACCATTCCTCCAGTCAACATGAATTTATAGTCCTCGTTTTCTAATACTGGATCTTCTTCTGCGTCTGATGTATTTTTAACTTGGGTCGAATGAAATGTAAAGGAAGATGAAAAACATGGTAGTTTTCTTACTCTTTCAAGCACTAATTTTTCATATTCTTCTTTTGTAAGGGACCATTTTACCAAATGCTCCGTAATACGTTCTTCTGCGTGGAGAATGCAAATATAAATTTTGGATGAATCAATACCAAACTTGTGATTTAAAAACCTTGGCATGGAGGTTCCATTTAAGCTATTACATTTCAAGCATGCGCATCTCAAACAAAACATATTGCCTTCTAATAAATCGCTCACGTAAGACAGAGATTTTAAATCGCTAACCCATATTATAGTCACTTTCATGTTGAAATTTTCTTTGTTTAACGAAGCGTCTGCTTGTTTTTTCGTTATTTGTATACCATCTTTCGAAATCTTTTCGACTTGTTGTGCAAAGTTTTTACAATAATCCATAATTTCCTGTTCATTACCAATATACATTGCGACAGGAAAAACATTTCTTCGCTCTTGAGTTCCAAATGTTGTAAGATTTAAAACTGAAAGAGTTACAACCACCGTCTGAAGTCCGTCAAATTTTCTTCCATCCATACTCATCTTGATTACCAAAGAATCAGGTAACTCTTCATTTACAGGACGTTGTTGTTGTTTTCTTAGAAACACGGTATGCAGGTGACTTTTTACAGCTGCAATGATCACAGGTTCCAGTTTCATCACAAATCCTTTTAATACATGTTGTATTCCAAAATATTCAACTAAGGCATTCGTTACTTGTCCTTCTATGTCTTTAAGATCCGCCTTAAGAATATCGTTGAGTCCCAACGAAAAAATATGCTCTTTCCAAG